GAAATTTTCGCGCAATTGAAGCAGAAAGTTTACACCGCAAGTTCTGATGCAATATCTAAGCAATTTTTGCTATATTTTCGAATTTTTATATTTATGTGTTGTTCTTCAGAAACATATGATTTGACACTGAAATATACTAAGATAATGTCTGTCACTAGGGCAGTATTTTAAATACCACAATAAATTTAACAGAATGCAAATCCCAGATGTCGTCTGTCCACGGTATAAGAGTAAATATCAAGAAGTCACTTAAAAGGCCATATTAACTTTGCTTCCTTCTGTCACAGCGTACTCTGTCAACAGGGTTTTCAGCTTACACTTATACAAAAAAACAAATTCAGGGCCGAAATTGGATGCTACCCCAGAAATACGCAGCTTCTTTTTTAGTGAAGGTTTTTATTCAGTAAAGGTTCATATCTAAATTGCAATGCCTTTGAATTTTTGGTAATTTGTTGTGGTGTTCCATAAAATGAACGGCGTTTAGTAAGGGTTCCATTATCTTAAAAGTTTTAGAACCCCTGGATTAGACTGTTGCCTAAGCCATCATGCAATATCTGCATATACATATACCAATGTTTGTATGTATGTATAGACAAGGGGCGCAAGTGATAGTCGCCGAGGCGTACATACAATCCCATAAGTAAAAACGTCTGCGTAGGCGTTGGAGCAGAAGTCGTGTGAAGGAAAAGAAATAGAGCAGCAATTCACATACACTTAGCTACTTCACAGAAGAAGACTCACAGCCAGATAAAGCAGTAAAGCGCTGGAAAAGCGCAAAGCTTGAATAGGCACAGAAATTGCCGGAATTGAGGAGCAAAAACGTGGAGCTGTAGGAGAGTTGAGCGTACACAAAGCTTTAATCTGCAAGTCTTTGAAATAATGCAGACAACTGCAGACAATGTGTCCTTGCCATTCCGTTTACATACACGAATTTTCATTTCCTTTTTTTTACTTTTGTTGAGTGGCTGCAGGCAACTTCGTGTCCTTGTCTCATTCTTTTCGCACATGCACAAGCACACTCACATTAGTACTGGCATAGAAACATGTACATATGTACATACATATGTATGTATGTATATGTGTATGTATGTACAGTCATGCTTGCATTGTTGTCGCTACACGTTTCCCTTTGGTGCTGCATATTTGTTTGGTTCTTCTTCGATTGTCTTTGTTTTTGTGCGCTTCCACAAAAAGAAGAACGAAATGATGTCGCTGTTATTTTATTTAAAGTCAACTTGGCGGTTTGTTTATCGCTCTACTGTTTTCTGTCTCACTGTTCGTTTATTATTGCTGTTTTTGCTATTGTTGACTTTAGTCTAGTGGTTTGGTTGTTGCCAAGCAACATGTCGTTGCACAAAATATCCGCTTGCAATTAAAGTCACATCAAGTCGCATGTCCGGGAATTCGACGTCATTTGCAGAAATTTGTGTTGAAATTAAATGCAGTTTTTTGGCAGGCAAACGATTTGTACCCCTGCTAGATTAGACATACATATCCTCGAACAGAAAAAATTCCAAAAAAAAGTAATTAAAAGGAGATATTGTAACGGGAAAACATAGTGTTGCCATACGCTCGGTAATGTAAAATAAAAATGTATTTTTCTTTGTGATTAAAAAGATTTACATAGAATACGACTTAAATAGCAAAGAAAAGTGCTCAAAAGAATCCCTTTGTCAATTGCACCACAAAAAGGATAAAAAATACCACAGCTCAGCGCCTAGCAAAAAATATACTACAGAGAAAATAACGTTTTAAAGAACGTTAAATTGCCTCTCATTAAAATCGTAAAATGATTGACGCATTGAGGCAAAGCGAATACGAATACATATAAACAAAGTTTGTAAGAGAGATAGAATCATTTGTAACACACTACACGTACGGTGACCAGATTTTTGTGGAATAAAATCGGGACTTTTCTCGTATCGTATCAAAATATAAAAATTTGCTTTTAGAACGAAAAGATCTAAACTTTTTTAATGCAGTTCTATTTAAAACAAAACAAAGAAAACCAACCTAAACAAGTAAGAAAGTCTAAGTTCGGGTGGAGCCGAATATTAGATACCGCGCAAATATTACATATAGTTTTTTTCGCCTTTCCGATATAAGCAGGGGTGATCCGGGGTCCGATTTCAATAATTTTCAGCCTTTACATGGCAAGCCCAATAATCAATCTGAGTTTGGTACAAATTGCTCGAACAGTTACCGGTATATACATATGTGGTCATATGTGGGTGGTGCCACGCCCATTTTCTAAAATTTTATGATAAACGTATTTTGTAAAGAGTTACCGGTTAATCGACTTCTTGTTTCATTCTGTTAATTTATGTATACATTTGTCTCTATCTACCTCGATTCGTTTTGCCAGTTACAAACAACCGTTATGTGAACATAGTTATAATACCCTTGTGCACAAGTGCGCTCGGGTATAAAAATGATGTGAAACTGTATACAAATATATCGGAAGTTTGGTTATCTGTTAGACTGAACATATTCTACCTATCAAGCTTATTAATGAAATCTCCGAAAACGTAATTTTTGAGTTAGCATATGTATCTATATTATTAAACGTGCGATATATGTATGTACACATCTGACTGTCCCACGAATATCTGGAAAAAAAAAAAAATTGTATGTGCATATTCTCTCTATTTGTGATTTCTAGCCTAAATAACGTATACATATACATATGAAATTTTATGCAAAAAATTGGATATGTTTCATATGTTTGAACGCACTTTTAGTAAATTTGCATCTTTAAATTTTTAAAAGAATGGCGGGATTTCTTTCAAGAACATCGAAAAAAGGCTGCAAAATGATGTGTTTTCCAGTCGAATAATTTGTGTTTGTCCTGAATATTTGCTATTGTAGACTTTTTTAATTGGTCTGACAGGGCAGGGCGTATGATGAACATTGAATTATCAAAATCAACTTTTATAGCAAATTCTTTTCCTCCTTAAAAAAAAGTGGTTTCCGTAATATTAAATAAACAAAATAAAATGCTTTAGTATTTGATTAAGGATTAATTGTGGAGGTAGGTATTAATAAAAATATTTTAAAAATATCATTCGAAATTTGTATACTTTTTTCTCCTTATATATATTCATAGGACTTAAATTACACTAAGATTCTTCAAAATGCACTCAAACTTCTCAAACATCTTTAAGGATAATATTTTTAAAGGACATTTTTGGCATGTTCCAAAAGGATAATTGAAAACAAAAGTTATAATTAATCCAGCTTCGAGTTCTTCTTTAAATCGATACCCATATATCCATATTTTGTGTTAACTTTTCGAAATATATTATAATTTATGGTCGTTTGAAAGAAATTTTATTGGAAAGTTGTTAAGAGAAAACTAATAAAAAATGAGGGGGTATGCGTTAGAAAAACAACTTTGCTTTTTTGGAATAGTCTACTAAACGAGTAGGTACACTCATACATATCTTGTGTATATTTTTCATATCCATGATTTTTTAAGCAAATTAGAATTATTTGTTATAGTTTCACCAATTTGTTTGTTAGTATCGTTTAATAAGAAGACAACAAATAACAAGAAAATTACAAAAAAAAATATACACCGAAATACAGCGAGAACACCAGTTTGACAGAATAAAACATAACCAAAGATGAGGGAAAATAAAGATCTAATGTTTTTGGCTCCTTTTATTCTATGTTCTTTGAGATAACGAAAGATCTGCCACTTTTTTCTGAAAAATGGTTTTTCCTTAGCTCCCAACTCACCACACTGTCGTTGGTCACGGCTGAGTGGCAATTGCATATATGTCACAATTTTCTACTAGTTTTAAAAAAGGTTTAAAATTCCAAGCGTTTTCATCATTCTGCTGTTGTCTTCGCTTGAAATAAGAATCTTTCTTCCTTCAAATAAACTGCTTTGCAACTTATCGCAGCGTATATCGGGGTATTTCTCGTTGTAGCAAATACGTAAATTACTCGAATCGCTTACATCAGGCAACTTCTTCCGTGGACGGTCTAATTGCAGCTACATTTTCCTTTTTGTAGCCGCTAGTATTTAGCACTGAAATTCTGGAAAACAATTAAACTAATTTTGTACATTTCATTAATCGCTCTTTAGCATCAACCAAATTATTTCACGGTGTGGCAACTCTTACCAAAAGGCGGGGTAAAATGCACATCAACTGCGCCACCAACATGTCTTCTGCTACACTGATAGCTAGAGTTTGAAATGGGCTTATTTGTTGTTGGTATTCTGTTGTCTCAGCGTTTAGTTGGCGTCCCTTTGAGATGTTCATGAGCTTACGACTACATGCACACACATACATACCTAAAAAAGATTCACTACGTTGCTTATTGTCGCCGAACACGTTTTTCATGCTCATATGAATGCAGCGTGTTCAACTGTCGCTTACAAATTGTAATACGGTTGTACCATTTGTCAATGGAGACACATAAATACATACATCTGCTTGTATATATATATATATATATATATGCACACGCGACTGCCTAGAATTGTCGCCATTCACATATGCATATCTATGTATGTATGTATGTACATACGTATTCCCAAAGCTTCTGACATATTCTCACGTCTGCCTGGATGCTCATACGCCCACACACATACACTTTGCTTTATCCTACTCCCCTCCACTTTCGTTTCTACGATATTTCCGAATCCGGACAGTCTTGATTTCTTTTCAGCTTGTCGCCTGGTGGCCTTAAATGTCCGCTTTGACTTTGAGTGATATTTTCAAATTATTTCACTAAGAGTTGGTTTGCTGCTGTCATATGAGTGGCGGTTGCGAAGGCTTTGCATTGGGTCAAGTGCTCGTTTAACAGCATTCAAGTTTAATATTCTACATACATATTTGATTAAATTTTTTTTTTTTACAAAAATTCCAGTTGGTGTATTGAAAGTTTAAGAGCACTTTGTGAAAGAATTTGCATGATTTTTCCTCTGATTTACCTAGTATAAAAGTAGCATTTTTTCTAAATGTTTTATTCGTTTCTTATTGTTTCAGGCTACTTTTGGCACATCACAGATTTGCATTTGGACACATACTACTCGACGCAAGGAGATGTTATGCACAGTAAGTAAAACATTTTATACATACATACTACACTGAAAATAAATTTTCGTAAATATGCTACGGAGAACTTTCGTAGTCTTGGTTTTCGTACAACGGACGAAACTTTAGTTCATAATACGAACACATTTTTCACAACGAAACAAGATTTTACCAATCACTCGTAAATATAACGAAAGGACTAATGCTTATTTCTCAAGTAGTTTTGCTCCATGGAAATTTTAAATTTTATGTAAATAGTAGCGGCACATTGGGTGAACTAGTAGTCTTGGTTTTCGTACAACGGACGAAACTTTCGTTCATAATACGAACACATTTTTCACAACGAAACAAGATTTTACCAA